CTGGAGGACTTATTCCTCGTCTGAAAGTCGACGAGTGTTTCCCTACACTCAAGTGCAAGGCCCAAGGTCTTTACACTTTAGCTCACCAAGGCCCTGATGAGGTCCACCGCATCGTAGCTTTAGGCGTGCAGCTGCCACCTGTCGGTCCAAAATTTGTAAAAACTCTCTGTAACTCCTCGGATCTCGGCAGGCAGCGCATCTAACAATGCAGGCGCAGCACCTCATCATGACCCGCAAGAAAATTAGGGGACTTCCCTTGAGTCCTTGCTGGCCTCTGCTTGGCCGCTTCCTCCTCTGCTGCCCTCTTGGCAGTCTCCTCCCTGGCCTCCTCAACCTCAGCTTTTCTCACCATTTCTACCTTCACTGTCTTCATGGCAGAGTCCAGTAGCTTCGGCTGAGGAGGGACATCCTTGTTTGAATGGGACATCGATGTCCCAAACTTTCTCGAAGAACTGGTGACGTGAACTAGCTTCTTCTTCTTGTGGAAGTCCTCAGGGACCTTTTCTTTACCCCGAGCCTCCTTCGCTTTCTCTGACTTATGGGGGGTCTCCTCCACGGACCCCCTAGAGCTGTCGTCCTTGGACAGCCTCTCCAACTGGCCCCTGAGCTCCTTCGCCACATCGGAGCTTGGCTTCAGGGGCCTCATCCCCGCTGTAGAAGTTGCCCTCAGAATCGAAGCCATGTCTGGGACGGGGTACTCCCTTCTCTTGAATTTATCTTTAGATACAATAGGTCAACATTGAATGTCAATTAAGTACAAATTTGATCAAATGAACGCACTTTTTACCCTTGGAGGCCATCAATTCAAAATCTATGAAGTATCGACTTCGGTCAATGAGGTGGTCAAAGTGGTGAAGCTTTAAAGGTCGCATATATATGTCCTCTATGACCTCGAACTCCCCCTTGCGGAGCTTAAACCTCATACTTGAATCTGCAAAATAAGTGGCAATAGTTAGCAGACAATTAAGAAGCTACTTAGAAAATTTAATCTCAAACTTGGTCACTCACGAGCTTCGTAGTACTGGGTCGGTACTGTGCAATCCACGACCTTATCCCCCTCAACCGCCTGCCACTTTTCCTGAACCCAGAACCACAACTCATTCCATCTCTTGATGGAAAAAGGCAACCCCACCACGAAGGGTGCGTGAGCCTCCCAGGGTGTGAGATAATACCACACCCTCGACTCGTCTTTACTCAACACACGAGGCTGAAAAAGGGTCTGAAAGACGTGCAGATGCATATCCTCCCTTAACGACACTTCTTTCCACAAAAAATATGACCCCACTAGCTGGCTCCAACCATTCGACAGAACCTGGGTCGGTGACAACATAAAGTTTCTAAGCACAGCCCTAAAGAAGGGGTACAGAGGAAGACGCATACCTGCCTTGAACAAGTATTCACTTACAGCCACACATCCGGGCCTCGGAAAACATGCCCTTTCGTGGGCCTTGGGGACTAACATCTCCACGTAATGGGGGACGCAATATTTCTCCCTAATTTCCTCCAACTTCTTCAGGGTTATGTTTGACACTATCCTAGCAGCCCCCAATTCTTCATCATAATCTATAGGCTCCTGGCCATGGCGTAATACTCCACCTCAGATTCCCCACTCAGACAGCCCCCTCACCCAACCTAGCTATGGTCACTAATTCTCTACCCGAAGTGGACTCCATATAAAAAGTTTGGAAAATCACAGAAGAAATGATCCTTGCAAAAAAAAAAAAAAAAAAATCCTACGGGAATGACTAACAAACAACGAACTGCGAAACGCCGGAGTTTGAAATTGGAGGACAACTTTGGACGCCAGAAACAACGAAAGGCAGAAAACACATCAAACAAACCGTGAAGAAGGGTTCAAAATGAAAATCTTTAGCCTTTTATAGAGAGCCAAGACAAACTCCATCCCTTGGATGAAGGCCTCATGAATCTCAGCCCTCCAATTCAGTGTTAAATCCGAAGCGTAGAATTTAAATTGTTTTGAAATCTTCGTCTCAGATTCGAACGTGCTCCTCACATACCTCTTCAAACGCGTCTCCTTCTAGAAGGTCCACCTGTAACCATCATTGCGCATTCAATGCTGTAGCCATACATGCCTTGGAAGTCGAAACGGTTCGACTGCCTTTTCTTGGTAACATGCACAAAATATCAAATCATTGGCAAAATATCGAAAACAACATCTTCACAAGCCTCGGCAAGTTCAATCAACACACCGTCTCGGCTTTCCCTTCTGCTTCTACGCAAATTCTCGGCATGTTCAATCAACACACCACCTCGGCTTTCCTTTCTACTTCTACGCAGATTCAGCCACTTCACAAGCCTCGGCATGTTCAATCAACACACCGCCTCGGCCTCCCATTTTGCTTCTACGCAGATTCAGCACTTCACAAGCCTCGGCATGTTCAATCAACACACCACCTCGACCTCCCATTCTGCTTCTACGCAGATTCAGCCATTTCATAAGCCTCGGCATGTTCAATTAACACATCGCCTCGACCTCCCATTCTGCTTCTACGCAAATTCACCCACCTCCCAAGCCTCGGCATGATCAATCAACACACCGCCTCGACTTCTTCTGCTTCTACAAAAATTCACCCACCTCACAAGCCTCGGTATGTTCAATCAACTCACCGTCTCGGCTTCCTCTCCTGTTTCTACGCAAATTCAGCCACTTCACAAGCCTCGACATGTTCAATCAACACACCGCCTCGGCCTCCCATTTTGCTTCTACGCAGATTCAACCACTTCACAAGCCTCGGCCTGTTCAATCAACACAACGCCTCGACTTCTTCTTCTGCTTCTACGCAAATTCACCCACCTCACAAGCCTCGACATGTTCAATCAACTTACCGCGTCGGCTTCCTCTCCTGCTTCTATGCAAATTCAGCCACTTTTCAAGCCTCGACATGTTCAATCAACACACCGTCTCGGCTTCCTCTTCTGCTTCTACGCAGATTCAGCCACTTCACAAGCCTCAGCATGTTCAATCAACACACCGCCTCGGCTTCTTTTTTTGCTTCTACGCAAATTCAACTACCTCACAAGCATCTGCATGTTCAATCAACTCACCGTCTCGGCTTCCCTTTCTACTTCTACGTAGATTCAGCCACTTCACAAGCCTCGGCATGTTCAATCAACACACCGCCCTCGGCTTCTTCTTTTGCTTCCTCGCAGTTCAGTCACCTTTTCCAACCACAGCAACACCACCACTTTCAACTTCAACCATGATATAAATATCTATACTTGAACTTGGGTGACTATTAGCTAAGGTACAAAAAATTTCTCAGTTTTTACCCCACACCCTTTACCATAATAAAAGTCCACGTATTACATAAAATGACCATACTTGTATTTGCGGAACTATTGTTACGTGTTGAAACACTTAGCCGACCCATTGGGGCCCATGACCCACTTTCTGTTGAACCACGTGGTATCTTATCCAAGGCCCCCATCCCAATAATAACACTAGCATATTATAATAGCACCAGGCATGGTCCAAGTGCTGCCACCGAAGCTAATACGCCGAGGAGATCTCGTAGCCGAGGCCATTCTATCCCGAAATCCTGAGGCTTTAAGTAGCACTGTTCCCCAGAGATCCGGTCTTACATAAGGATCTTCCCTGAGTGATTGATGGGACACCCATCATAGAGCACAAGTGCATTGTCTTGTCAATATAGTGGCAGAGCCGCCAGTTAATTAATGTGCAACAGGCTAGGAAGTCAAATGTGACACCTATAATTGGACATGTAAAATTACGAGATGAGGCTACGTGTACTCCCAACCAAGGGCCACGATCTAAGTTTTAATACTATAAATACTCTTCATGTATCTCTTACAAGGGTAAAGCAAGAATCAATAGAAGAAGCAAGACTTTACTCAAATCTCTCTTATTATTTTGCAACACAATACGCGTTTACACATTTTCACATACACATTTATAAACATCGATTGGTAATTATTGTACAATCGATTTACGAACATCTAGTCGAATTCCAAACGTCTTCATCCCACATCGTTGAGCTACTCCCACGCCCTTGATCTGTCCGTTTAAGACCATCCACGTGTTTTAGCGTCTTGAACCAAGCTTACGTACGCGCGGTTGGATTCGATATCTGTTGACAACATATTCTGGTGTCAACAAAAATTAAACGATAATGCTAATAAAAACGTTTATGTTAGATGAGTTGTCCTTTTAAACTGTACTTTATAAAGAATTGAAAAACATGAGAAATACGTGTTTGGGAAGCGATTATTATGCCCATGTTTGAGCCACATTATTGGAATGAATTAAATAGTATATTAATAGGAAATGTGTGGTTAAAAAATAAGAAAATTTTTTAAATTTGCGTGTAATATTATTTTATTAAAAATGTGTAGTTAAAATAAATTTAAATCACTATTGAATAATATATTTTTTTCCAAAAAATGTGACTCAAATAGGACCTATACTCTTATATATATATATATTTCACAGGATTCATAACCATTATTAGCCTCCGTTTGGTCCCCATTAAATTAAATTAGATTTTTTTCTTTCTTATTTTCAATTACACAATCTTCTATAAAATAATATTACACGTAAATCGAAAATTTTTCCTTCTTTTTCAATAATTCATTTTTCAAAAAAATACTATTCCACCCATATCAATTTGAAAAAAGCAGGGCCAAACGGGCTTAATTTATTATCTAAGTTTTCAAAGGCCAATTACCTAAAATCTTTATTTTATTATTTCACAAACATAAAACATAAATCTTTCATCAAATTCAGTCTCCTAACAGATCTTCGCAGTTTTCTCCATAATCAAACTCTTCGCCGAAATCCACGCGTCTGCTAAATCAATCTGGACCGTCCACGTGTACATCAGCAAGTTGTAGTGTTGTACCGCATAATAATTTTTTTTTTTTTTTAGCGCCAAAATTTCGAGCCTTTTTACAGTTCTCTAAAGTCCTTTAAGTCGGAATCCAACGACTCCTAGCAAATGTCACCTTCTGATCAGAACTTTAAGTCTCATCCGTCCAATCATATCCCATTGCTCATCCATCCGTCCATTCCGTGCAAACTGAAATTTCAAAATAGTGTATAAAGAGAATTCTACTTAAATATAAAACCTTATGAGCTATCTCGTTAATTCAAATCCCTGTTTGAAAAATCTTAACCCATTATCTGTTTCTTTTTCGAACCAAATCTTGATTAATTTTTGGCAAACAATTTGAGGGATAAGAGAGGGCCATCAATTTTGAAGAAAAATTTTCATTTTTAAGTACAAGAGCGTGAAAGGGCAGCTTGTTAAACTAAGAATTGGAGGGATTCCCATGTAATTTTCGCAGGAAAAATGTTGTAACTTGAGTGCATGCAATTGGAGAAAGTTTATTTTGTTTTCATTTACAGATTCGATATTTTGGGTGATGGGGCAGAGTGAAAAGGCGTCCCCGGCGCCGGAGAAGGCGGAGTTTACCGCTGCGAAGAAGCAGTTGGATTTCACGGTTAATTTTAAAGCCTCAATGCTAGATTCGGGAGCGAGTTTCAATGGGAATGTGATATTGCCGGAGCATCCGCAGGCTCAGTTACAGTCCAAGTTGCTGGCCTTATCGCAGCCGAAGAAATTGCATGCCAATGCAAGTTCTCAATCGCCGCCGACAGTGGTGGCACAACTTAAATCTCCGCCAGGAACAGTGACGCCAGTAGCGCCGCGGTTAGCTCGCCCCGTGAAACCCATGCCGGTGCCTCGGCATAAACCTACAATGCAGCCAATAGTGTAAGGCCTTCGGTTTTATGTGCATAATTTTTCCCTAGTTTAATTGTTGTTTTCGCTTTGCTGTTGGGATTGAATTTTGAATATTGATGGATTAAAAGGAGTTAATTGTTCCAGTAGTCACCGAACTTGTGTCCGTGTCTTTGATGGGCCACTAAACTTTAAAATGTCGAGTTTTGGCAACTGAATTTTGAAAAATGGTAGATTTTGGTCACTGAACTTAGATCAATGTCTTTTGATTGATTTAAAATGTCGAGTTTTGGTTACTAAACTTAGGTCAATATCTTCGATTGCTCAATGAATTTAGGTCCATGTCTTAGATTGTTCACTGAAATGTAAAATGTCGATTTTTGACCACTGAACTTTGGAATATGCCGTACATTACTTACTAGAATGACTATTAAACTTTGAAAAAATATTGAGTTTACAGTGAATAATGTACAACATTTTTCGAAGTTCAGTGAGTAATGTACAGTATTTTCAAAGTTCAGTGGCCAAAACTTGACTTTTTAAATTTCAGTGAGCAATCGAAGACATTGATCTAAGTTCAGTGACCAAAACTCAATATTTTTCAAAATTCAGTGATCAAAACTCGACATTTTAAAGTGGTCAATCAAAGAAGACCTAAGTTTAGTGACCATTGGAACNATATTTTTCAAAATTCAGTGATCAAAACTCGACATTTTAAAGTGGTCAATCAAAGAAGACCTAAGTTTAGTGACCATTGGAACAATTAACTTGATTAAAACTAAAAGATCAAATTTTGGGCATCTGTTTTTTCGCCGTTCAGTGAGAATATGGTACATAGAATGCAAACGACCTGATTCCAGTTTTGTCACAGCCTAATTGTGAAAACTATGAGTGCCCGTTGCCCATATCAAGCCTTTGATGAAAAATCATGCCCATGAGACACTTGTTGAAGATTAAACTTAAATAACCTTTTTGAAGTATTGAACCATAATTTTACAGGATATGTGTAACTACAATCTAATAGTGAAGACAAAAAAATGTATTTTTGCTTCTTCAGGAAAGTAGCATCTCCAAAATCACGTGAACGGTGTAATATGGAGCAAATGGAGGGCACTCCAAAGAAGAAAAAGCAATGCAATTGCAAAAGTTCGCGATGCTTGAAATTGTAAGTACAATCCCTCATTTGATTAGCAGCTTTCTTTAATAAAATTTTGGCAGTAGGGAGGTATATTCACTTATTCTCTTCTACTGAAACCGGCATTCATCTCACCCAATCATTTGTGAAAAAAGAGGAAAAAAAAAAAAAAAATACTCTCGATGACATATCTGATATGAAGATAAATTCCTCGCGGTTTTTTTACTTATTACTGTCCGCCTCCTGATAAATTTCAAGGTGAGATTCTAATTTAAATAAAACAGAGAGTTTTGTTCTGCCTTTTTTGTGTGTGCTACCACATCCTGTCCCTTAATTTTTTCGTGTTTGGACCATGCATGTACAGATAAATATACATCTCAGGTCATGTGGTTGTTTTGTAGATTCTAAATAATCACGTAACATGTGTTATAAACCCTTTTCATTCTATTTGACCTTCTATCATCCCTTTCTGTTTTTCTTCCTTTTGCTCTTTCATTTTTTTCTTTTCTTTTTGTCTTTTATGACATGTCTTAATTTGATCTTGGTTGGCTGTAGAGAGAATGGATCATAGAAGGTGCAGGATGTTCTTCCATTCCTTTACCTGTTTCTATGCTTATTTGCCAATCTGTGCTTGTTTGGTGGGACTGCGATCAGTATATTCAACTCGTCCTTGCACCTAAATATCAGACCGACTATTTTAATAGATGATATTAGCATAAATATTCTCTTTTGTTAAAACAAGTGTACAGATTTCGAAATAAGCAAACATTGTTGACCAACAGGTACTGTGAGTGCTTTTCCTCTGGGACTTACTGTGATGGATGCAACTGCTTAAATTGTCACAATAACATAGAACACGAGTCTGATAGAAAAGATGTAATGGATGTAATTAAAGAGCGAAATCCAGAGGCCTTTAAACCAAAGATTGCTAACAGTCCACACAAGGCCAGAGACAGTATGGTATGTAACTTGAGCCCTCAATTTATGAAGCATTTTTTTGTATGTATGAATTTGAACTCTTATGGGCTCCATATCATTCCATATGTTGCCTTAAATTTATTTGCAAAAACGAAGTAATTTTATACATGTAACCTAAAGAGCCAAATTTCATCTAACAACCTTACAAATTTTGCATATTATTTTTGTAGATTTCCTTAAATAATATTATTAATTTCCTGGTTAAATATCCATATAAACAAGCAACTAACCATTATTTCATCCTTTCTCAAGCTACTTTGTTTGATTATGTCCACGTATGTGTTATACAGATACAACAACTCTTGATTTTGAGGTTATTCTTGTTCAAATCTGTATATATCCTAATTAGTTCTTACCATATTTAGGTAGACAAATTATTGTAATTACCTGCAAGTCAGCCATGTACTTTGCAATTCTCTTCTTTATATTGAAATGGAAACCCTCCATTGAGAGACAAATGAAACCAATTTGACATAGTATTAGAGCCCTCTTAAATTTTTAAAGTATTATCGCGGTTAACAATTTTTGCTTCTGTTGAGAAATTTTTTGGTTTTGGGCTGTCGGAAACCTCATTAGAGGTTCTTTCAGCAACTTTTGGTAAGTAAAGTGCAGTGCCTTCTGGGTTGTTGGAGTTTTCTGTGGCTCGTTTTCCAGTTCCATTTCTGGTGTGGTGTAATCTATAGGAAGTCGTCGTTCTTGGGAGTTTTCTGGAGCGGCTCTTCAGTCGGAGCATCTGTTCTTGGCGTGTCGATAGGATTCCATTCTTAGGTTTTTTTGTTGGTGGTGTCTATTGATCGGAGCATGGTTAATCTGCAGTATCAAATTTCTGGGTAGGTATCATTTGGTTTAGGCTTTTCTTTGTTGGGCTGAATTGATATAGGTTTGGATTTATTTGTTGTTGGGTTTGGGCTTTCCTTTTATTTAGCTGAACTGATATAGGGTTTGGATTTGTTTGTTATTGGATCAATTTCATAATGGGCATTGGGTTGTGATTGGATTTATTTGTTGTTGGATTGAGGATAACTTTTGAATTAGGCTTTAGTTATGGAGCTGGGCTTGCTATTTTATTGGACTTGAGTTGTTAAATTTTCTACTTTGCTTCATCATGTCAGGAGTAAATTGTATCATTTGTTTTA